TAAGAGAATTGTCGAGTTACCATGCTAATTATACGAGGATATTTTTTCAGATTTTGCCGTTGGGGCACCTGTAGCCATCAAAACATGTTGATGAAAAAGAAATGTCAGCTGCAAAACTGTTTGTTATTAAACAAGTAAATGTCATTATAGGTACAAATTCATCTCTTTCCAATTGCCAGCTGTGCTGGTGACATTCAAGGCTTTTCAAGACAGAAACTAAAACCGAGGCTTTTCAAGAGGGACTTTCACATTCAAGGCCTTTTCAAGCCTGTATGAACTCTGATTATGTAGATCTAATTGAAGTGATTGTTTAACGCAGATATATATATCGTTTGGTGCGTCGGGATGTACCATGTTTATGGTTATTTTCGGGAATTCCATTAAAAATCAAACCTAAACATACGACAGAAACAGATTATTTCAGTGATGTCACAGCGAGCGACAGGTCTACTTGACTTGGCGCGTGTACAACACAGTTGCAAATCCGTATCAGGCAAACTATTTGTAGCACTGCCATAATGTGAACAAACCGAGCGTTGGTGACAGCAGAGACCATATAATATCTATTATTATGGTCTCTGGTGACAGTATTACAATCATCACAGCTCTGCTTACTATCTGAGGCACGTCGCTATATAAGTGCAATAATCTTGGACGCGACGTTAAACCCAATTTCACCTCACCTCACCTCACTATCTGAGGCAAACACTGTAGTCGACACAACAGAACTTCATGTTTTTACGGTGTTTTGGTTTAAAAAGAACAAGGCTTACAAACACGTGGAAACAGGCGTGCATGGTGACAAAGACTGAAATGGCGACTGCCCGCGTGATAAACGCCAAATTGTTTTTGCATTTGTCTGTTTCAAATCAGTCAGAAACGAATGAGAATCATGCACATTTACCAAAAATATCTTTTCTACCTTTCCATGACATTCTTGAAAGATGTTGGTAGATCTACAGAAACATATGTATTCTACATTATTTTCCCGCATTGGATTAACACAGAGCTAGAGCCTATAGATTTCGGCCTAGTGTGAAGATTAGGCTAATACATTTGGCAACGGACTGCAGGCTAGTGGGGATGCATGTCAATGAATTTCAGCTATTCTATGATTCAGAACAAAGCTTTTAAAAAATATGAACGAACAACACATCCGACACTTGACTGTCCCGATTTAGAACAGTCTCATTTTGTCTAAATTGCTATCAGTTCAAAGGTTTAGACCTACAAGCATATATTCCTATCGGTTGAAATGCCATGTTGAAAAGTTTACATCCAGACGTTTGTTGATCCCCAAAACATTGTGTGAAGCAAGCAACTGATTCCTACAACATTCATACTGTCGAATATCAATCTAACTATATGTATAGTAATTCCATCTAATTTCCTAAAGAATTCTTAAACTTAGCGCAAACTGATAACTTACCCACCGAGTACGTCCTAACACGTCCTACACATCTCACTGCCTGTCATGAAATGCCTGGACCGACGACCGGGAAGGTGCAAACTATGACGTTACTGTGACGTATCAGGAGTATGACATAGTTTGACGCTCGACTGCTTGTGGGGATCAACCGCGAGTGACGCTACACCCTAAACTTATTATCCAGCCAGCCACCATTCGTAGATTAATGCAGTGTGGAGTGATATACTATAAATCTTAATGGTAAATATATGCATTCATAAATTTCCAGACAGTAAATAATAATTGTTCTTAAAATTAACGCAAGAGAAAAACACTTGACGATTCACCGATCGGATGCAACACTGGTTTAGAAATAACCTGATTGAATTTTTAAATTAAAATATCACAAGGAATAATAATTAATTGAAACTGACTCGGTAATATTCATAAGTGCATTATGTATGCATTACAGGTACGTCATTGCTGACAGTTAAATGGAAACCGACCTTGGTGACAAACGTATCGTTTCACGTTTAAATTATTTGTGCAAAGGTTAGTTAATTGTAATTCATTATATCTGTGGCTGTGACATTTGGGTGAAAGATTAAATGCATTATGTGTAAAAAAATAATATTAACGTGGACATTTATTGGGGGAGATGGAATCAATCACAGGCAACCTGCTTAAAGATGGGCCAGTTGAGTGATCGGAACGCTCATTTTGGGTTTATGAATATATATTATCCTATATTCGATATACCCTTATATTTAAGGTGGTTGGACAGAGTTAAGGGATCTTGGCGGAGTTAAATACGTAAAAAAATACACTTTACAAATTAGACAATGATATGGTTTACAAAATAGCCACATCAGTTTCTAATTTGTAAAGTGTATTTGAGTATCCGAGATTTTATTTCCATGACTAGTCTAGACACAATATCAGTTGAGATCGTTCTATAAAAACTGACGTCATATAATTTTAGCTTGACCAAAGAGTTGTGTTTCAGTGACCATAGCACTTATGGATGTCAAATGTAAAATATTTGACTGTCATCGCCTACCATGCGTTTTGAGATAGTTTGTCGTATTATAAGCGAAAGAAATGTCACTATGGCGCCATTGTCTGAGTATTCCTTTACCACAGTCGACACGCACATTGTATTCCACCATCGCTCTCGCTCAGATACAACGGGTGGCCATATTGCCACGTATACATCTACACATCTTGTTCAATTACGAGGCTCCAGTGACGCGTGTAAAATGTTGCGTCGTCGTCCATAATGACACATCTTATCTTTTCCAAATTCAGTCACGTGATGTGTGTGATGGTCACGTGGCCGTCATGTTGTCTGCTGCCGTTCGAAAATCTCTTTCTGTACGATGGGCAAATCTGATGATCTTACTGTTTGGGATATTACCTCCTATCAGAATGGCGAACATTGTTCAAAGGGATGCCCTCAAACCATGAACTATTTGTGTTTTGATCGGAAAATAACTGAGATCAGCTGACTGGTTACTCAACCTCTGTCGATTCCCTTGTTTCTAAGATGTCTCTTTTATCACTGTAAGCAAACACAGTATTAAAGCTATCGCATCGTTAGCCATGATTTTGAATGTTGTATTTGTAAGAAATATCAGCCGCTGACATAGTAATTAAGCGTCGCATTGTCGCTGTTATATTTCTTATTGCTTATTTTCAAAATATTTACTGAACCTGGAATTTTCATGTTAAATGAATGCGCCCAAGTATTTAACTCAGTCACAGCAATAACACATGTGCATACTTATGTCTGTAAGGAAGGAGCTAAATATGTGGGTTAAAGGGTCGTTGGTTATCTGAAGTTTGATGCAGTAAGCTTATAAACATCGTCAAAACATAATTTAGGAATATGATCTTAATTTATCGATATAGGATTTTCAAATCAAATCGTAGGTATGATCCTTTCTAGCGTCTTAGTCTTGTTGGATTGTAATCATGGATGTATTAAAAATTTAGCTACATAGAATGCCTGGGTCAGAACGTATTTTGATTGTAGGACATTCTTTCATTGCTAGGCTGAAAAAGCATATTGCTTGGGGACATGATCGTTTTAGATATGATTTTGGATTGACAGGGCAAAGTAGTGTGTATTGGTTTGGGATCGGGGGATTGACACTGAATCGTCTGAAAACCATTTATTTGCGCGATTTCGAGGAGAGATTGTATTACTACAACCAAGAAATTCTTGTAGTTCAACTGGGTGGCAATGGTTTGTGTCGTTCTGACGTTCTGACGTTTTTCCAAGAGATAAAATAAAAATATAACATCATCAAGCTTGTCATCTGCGAAGAATTCCCTAGGTCTTCCGATAAGCTGTTGTAGTTGGGTATGAGAGAAAACGCCTGCAATGTAACCAGTACTTGAGTGTTATGCTACCGGAGAGAGGCATGTGTTTTTGGAAACATAAGAAAAAATTTCATTCTTCCTTGTCTATTTTCCAGAAGGATGGGGTACATTTGACTGATGATGGCAATTTTCATTGTCTGTAATTTTTGCCACAAATGAACAGGACGTTCTCGGGTCTAAGGGTTTTGAGTATAAATGAATTTAATATTCTTTACAGACAGTGATATAGCAGAACTAGAGTTGCTCGTGTTGTATACCGGACGAATGGTGCCGGCAGTGGCCTGGCCTGAAGAAACCAGTTCGAATCTTCGGTAATGGCTTAAGTGGGACTTGGCTATAAGCAAGTGTAAATACGCGGATGGTTCCCCATAACCGGCATTCGTTTAAGTAGGTCCCCAATTGAAAATGTCTTTGTCAGGGTCACACTGAGAAAAATGACAGTATATGTGTGCAGATGTTTATGATCGTAAACCTAATCCCATGTAATTTGGTAATTATTTATTGATTTTGTGCGGATATTTACTGATTTCCCAATTTAGTTCTGTATGTACAGATTTCTGGGTTAACCTTCGCGTCCCAACTCAGGAATCTAAACGTAACATGCCATGCTTCGATGATTGTCGACTTTTGTTCCGGAAACACAGGTTAATTAGGCTGGTGCCAGGAGAGACGAACATTTCCCACGTGTGCACCACCGGGAATAAGAAGTGGCAACCGTCGCCGGGAAGTTGATGATGATGACTTTCAGCCAACGAAAGATATGTTTTGAAGGTCGTGACAACTGCGGGCTTATGTTTCAAGACAATAGCGATTAACAACGCCACACTCATCTCAAACAATGCACTGATGATGATGACGTCACCATGGAATGTTCCAAAACAACACATTTGTGGAACCTTAATGTCTTGGTGGTAAGATCGCTGGCTTTGTGTGCTGGTAATAAAGGTGCCTCACTCTGAAAGTGTGGGTTCGAATCCTGGAACTTGGTGACCAATGTCTAGTTATTTGCAACAGCATTCAAGATGAACAGAACATGTCAAGTGTTATTTATGCATTCTTTATTCATTGTATCCTGTCATTTGTTTAGAGCGGTAATGATGTGTCCGTGGAATATGTGTGATTAATATATTGCCAGATTATTTGTATAGAAGAAAACAAATTCTCATGTATGTAACTGACAGATTTCAATATATTATAGAAAACCAACCTTTCTGTATCTGTTCCGTCAAGACTTGGATGAGTTTCACCTGCATCGCGTCACGTTCATTAATTTCCTGTATCTGTAATAATGAATGGGTAGCTATCTGGTTGGCCATTGTATCAACAAACTCATAGCAGTGATCAAACAAATACAGCGTACGATTATGACGAAAACAACAAAATGGGAACAACACACTGTGATTGGGCATGGTAACCATGGCGACTGAAACTTGTTCACCGTGTCTGTAAAGTTTAGAAAATTTAGGAAGTACCTCACAGGTTTCGAGAGTGCGTTGTTTCCATGCATGCTAATGCTCAGGTCGGTATGTATGCAGATTTAAATGTCAGTCAGAAAAGATTTAAGCAGATGTTAAGGGGTTTGATCAGACGGTGTTAACATTACCTCTCCTTATGTTATCCTAATACGATTAGAGCCATGTCAACAATTGTGAAGTATAATGGAAGTAAAATAAAGTGGCATGAAGGAAAAGAACTCCTTAAAGGCATATGCGATATTTTTTATGTGAATGACTTTGTCGTCCTTGTATTGAATTATTGTTGTTACTTTCAAAATGTTGCTATAATCCACTCACCACACTATGTATTCTAACTGTATATGTCTCTGTTTCTGAGTTGTTTTTCCTGGTGTTAACTTACCTAACATCTTCAGTCTTGGAGTAAATAAAAAAAATATTGTCCATATTTCCTCCAAGACTGAAGATACATCAATAAATGACGTTTTATGACTTTAGGTTTCACATATGAAAAGTCCTCCTCGTTTTTTTTGCCTTTTTCGTAACCTGAATTTCCATGAAATCTCGAAATCTCGAAACCACTCATTTGTATCACCCATGTGTAGTTCATTCCATACATTTAATAAATAAAAAAAGCAATAAGCTGCTTTAAAGTCCAAACTACATTGTGTCACCTGTCACAGATGATGAGTGACATAATGATGGAGAGATACAGTTGCTGCCACCTGATTGCTGTCATCTGATTAACACACGAGTGTTCCTGGTTAAGTAAATGGAGCAGTACTTGCCTTCCTTTGTAATTCTTCTTTTTCTCTCCGTCCATCTGAAGATAGTTATCAAATCTTTTAAATGGTATCATGTCAACAACCTTCAAAAAATATCTTGACAGCGTAGCATGAGTTTCATAAGACTTCATTCAGTGAAAAATAATAAGCTTGATATTTGTAGGTAGTATAACCAATATACATGTATAATTGCCTGATTCTATGTATGTATTGTATCATGCATACCTTCAAGTTGTTTTGCCATTTCTGCTTTGATATGCAGTTCATCTGTTTCAATTTTCTGTACCTGAAAATAATTTTGTTCATATATCATACAGTGAGTGAGTGAGTGAGTTTGGTTTTACGCCGCTTTTAGCAATATTCCAGCTTCACAGGCTTCACACATTCACACATTGTACCCATGGCGGAATCGAACCTGGATCATCGGCGTGATGAGAGAACACTTTAACCACGAGGCTACCTGACCGCAGAACATAGATATCTTATAGTGTGAACACATGAAAAAAAGCTCTGCCGCTCTCTATGGCGAGCGTCTTAACAACATGGAGTCGATTGTTTAAAATGTACCTATGGAAATACAGTTGTTGTACACAAGGGGATATCCAGGGGTTTCTACACGAAAGAGAAATAAGTTCAGAACTGACAATGTTATATCCAGAATACATCCTCCTGAAAAAAGTGCGAACTTTGGGCCTTTCCTATGATTTGAGTGTCAGGTGCATGGTCATACACTACACGTCCGCCTGGAGAAGGTGTAGTTACATGAGATAGTTCTCAAATGCAAGTTCATATACTGTCCTAACGTAACACAGGCTGATCCACACACAACAGAAAGTAACACCGGTATGGCATTTACAGTATAACGGAAATAATACCAGTAATAGAAGCTATGTATTTTTTGTAAAAATTACACAAACCAATACATGTACTTGCACGAACTATAGAAACGTCGATGGTGATGGTGATTGCATGACCACAACAACCACATGTTATAAGATGAGAGCTAGTTGTTCAGGTATGTCGAAGGACATAACGTAGATATTTGTCTTTTTCTTTTGTTTGTTTGTTTGTTTGATTGTTTGTTTCTTAACGCCGCACTCAGCAATATTCCAGCTATATGACGGCGGTCTGTAAATAATCGAGTCTGGACCAGACAATCCAGTGATTGACACCATGAGCATCGATGCACACAATTAGCATACGAAGACATGCATCAACCAGGTCAGCGAGCCTGACCACCCGATCCGGTTAGTTGTTTCTTACGACAGGCATAGTCGCCTTTTACGGCAAGCATGGGTTGCTGAAGGCCTATTCTACCCCGGATCTTCACGGGTCTACTTCTGTAAGACCCACGAGCACGGGTATGGTTGTGACACACCAGATAAATCAGGGCGACTCTTCGACAGGAACACACATTCTGCACAGAAACATACACAGACCAGACCCTCTGTTCACATCATATGTAGGAGACAAGAGACAATCATCTAATTCCTAGACGAGTTTGACTGCAGCATCCACCCATCCAGAGATAGAGCCAGTTACAAATAGTCGGACATCGAACATATACGCAATGAAAACTATGGAAGCGTCTTAGTTCCTTAATCCCACAGTCTAAACGTTATTCTCCCTCTATGTGGATGTCATGAGTAGTATCATCTACGTAGAAGATATTTGTTTTCAGAATGTGTTTGTTCACTAATAAAAAAAAGTTTCGAAACAATCTGTTGGAATACTTGGATTACATAAAACGCTTGTGCCATTAGTTCGAAATCTTTGAATTTATAAAAGAACTTGCCCTTGCAGCCATTTTTTCCTGTTCTTTTTTCTGATCTGAAAAAAGAAGATTTGAAGTTTTGTGTGAATAATTTGTTGATATTTTGTCATTGTACAGTTTACTTATAGAAGGCATGAGCAAAACATTGACATTGAACATTATTTAAAAGTATTATGTATGTTCTGAATGATTTCAATGATTTCGAATACTAAACATGCCCTTTAAGATTTAGATCATATGAATAGTATTGACACAATTTATGATTACAACATAAGCGCTTTTATGTATTTTCGATGAATCACGAAATTACAAACCAGCAGCGTTGTCGTATCATTTGACACTCGATTACTTTAAGGACAGTTCACATTCACATTGAAGGAAATAAAACATACCTAAGATGTCTTTTTTCAAGTGTTCAATCTGTGAAACAATAAATATTAATGAAGTATGAATGTTCATAAAAAAATAATCTGCTGTACTCCTGCCATGTGACAGCTGCCTGTAAACAATCAAGTCTGGACCAGACTGTTTAGTGATTGATATCACGAGCAATGGTCCAAGTACAGACAAGTAGTAGGGATACGATGACAATCAGGTCACCGAATCTGACCAGCTAATATATGTAAAGGTATAGCAAAGTGTCACGGGCCTTATTAGTAAACCCTTCAGATGAATCCCACAAAGTTTACTGAATGACGTAAGCAGACCTTTGATGATGAAACTCAAAAGCTTAGTTAAGTTGTAAATCATTTGTATAACCCTGATTTTGTTAAATGACATCTTACCAATATGCACAGCTCTGCAACGCTCTCCCTCTCAGATGTAAGAAAATTAAATTATTTTAAGCAAATACATATAAATAAGGCAATATGTTTTGTTTTTTATAAAGAATCGTATTAACTCATAAAACTCTCTTGTGTGGCTGTGCTAACATTACTTATGTTTCATAGTTGCAATTGTGTTGCCCACTCAGTCTGTAGAGCCTTAAACGCTAGAAATGTAAGATGAATTGTTTGTTCCACTGACACATGTCTTACATTTTATCTCACCGCCATACTTTTCCAGATCCATTTTCAGGCCCTCCATCTGCAATTGAAACTAAAAAATATCATAATGGCAATGTTGTGTAAATCGTTAATCCTGAATACGTACGTACACATTACCCTTTGTTTATGTATGAACAATTAATTTCAGAAAGTGGTGAAATGTCACAAATGTTACAGGTGGGATAAGCATTTTCTTAGTGAAGTAAAACTTCTAGAGCTTTTATGATTTTGGGCCCATCTGGGATTCGAACCCACACTCAGATTGAATCATCTTATCGACAACACAAAAAATCAATTTACAATTATCAGGCCTGTTTCCAGACATTGGAGAGTGACGTAATTCTGAGTGGACCTACATTAATTCTAGTGCCTGTTACGTCTTGCTTCTGCCACTTACCTGTCCCATTATATTGCCTTGTTGATTGTAAACCTAAAACTGTGTGTTTTAATATAGTTTGTTTATTATACTTTAGACGTGTCTGTCCATTTACTGATTTCACAATTTAGCTCTGTACGTACTAATGCCCGGGTTGGTTAATGTTTCTGTTTCAATTTGTAACAACCCCCCCCCCCCCCACACACACACACACACAAATAACGATACACAGCTGTTGAAATACGACATACCCTTTTTTCGAGATCTGGGATGGCATTCGTTGTGTCTGCAAATTAAAATATTAGACATAAGATTTACATAAAACGACACATTTATAACTCTTTCTCAGTTAATTTACAAGATTCGACTACTTGGTGGATAGTGTGTGCGTGTGTGCGTGCCTGCATGTGTGTGTGCGTGTGTGTGCGCGAGTGTGTGTGTGCGCACCTAACTCTATACATGATAATTTATTACTTTTGAGCAGGGTCTTATTCTAAGTTAAATGGAAAAGACTTACTGATGTCAATGATTTCACAGATCTGTGTGAAACACACATATTGCTTTCAAATCAAGGCAGCTCATTGAAGTCCGCGATAAAATGTATTCAAATGATCAATGATAATAAACTGTGGACGTGACTGTTAATTACCGACTATACTAGACATTGCATAAACTGGGTGGAGGTGTTTATGTATCAGTTGCAAAGAAAGGACTCTACTGTCTACATGTTAAGTGCAATGTCGTGTCCTGTCCTGCTCACTCTCCGAGCTCTATGGCATCACAACTCACCACTTGGTGAAGGATTAACCAATGAGAATGTGTTCGTTTTGAGCCAAGATGTACTGGCATTAAAGCTGAACATACCATTTCATATTGCATCAGCTATTGTCAGGACTGTTAACTGTTGATGTTTGACCTAACCCTATAAACAATATTATTCACTGTTCAGTGCAGTAGAAATACAACCCACCTTCGACAGTTTCTCTAAGCAGTACAAGCCTGATTTCAACTGTTTGTATCTGTAAACATGACACAGTTTATTTTGAAGCATTTATAAAAGTATATGATCCACATAACAGTGACTTTGCAAGAAGGCATAACATGCATGCTGTATATGAAGAAATTGTTTACTTATATAATTTAAAAATCCAGTTTTGTTTAAGTTAGAAAGCATTGGTTACCTGTTTCTTTAAATCTGGAATAATGTTGCTCTCCAAATCTGTAAATGATCAAAAGTTGTAAGATCGGTATCTTCCAAATATACGTGTCATTTGAGAGAGTATATCAAGTGGCTATATCAAGCTAATTGTGAATGTTTACAGACAGAAAATAGATCACACGATGAACTAGTAAAGGTTACACGTGCATAATGATTATTCTAATGCTAGTTCCATTTGACGTAATTGAAGAATTAACTTTGCTACTCACTTTCTATTTCGTCTGTGTGGGTTTTAACATCTTCCATCAGCTTTCCTATCTAGAACAGCAATAGCTATTTTCGTCATATTGTAGGACGTTATTTTTGTCATATTGTAGGACGTTATTTTGGTCATATTTTAGGACGTTATTTTTGTCATATTGTAGGACGTTTAAGTAAGCTATGCTAACGTACATATACACTTTCAGCTCTAAACCACAAGTATAGTTGAAGTGACGCCGGATTTGATGTTGGTAAAAAGATCAATTGTGCTGGCTACAAAGTACGCTATTTCGGAATATTTGCATATTTGCAAATATGTTCAAATCATCCAGTATCCATCCTATGATCTAAAATGTGATGTTGTCTCGCGTGATCTGACATAGTTGACTTGAGTTTTTATTTTTTGTTTGTAGTTAGGCATGTTTTTATTGATAAGTCCAATATTCAAATTAGTGCATACTATGCTCTGATCATAATGTAACTTCTGTGTCTTTAAGATTCTGACACCGAAGTACTAAATGATCTTCTGTACAGATAACTAATTATCATAACAAGACGTTCTGTGTGGGATTTTAATTGTAACATCAAACATATTACGTATGTTATCATGAGCTCTGTTCACAATGGGATGTACATACAGTAACGTAAGCTGAAATGTCGCATGAATCTGCATATTGCATATAAATTAGCACCATAACCGCACTGTAAATTTAAGTAACAGTGTAGAAATGTGTGACATTTGACATTATATTTAGACAGGTGTAAACATCTTCTATTCATTATGGAGTGTATTCTTGTCAGTGAAAGTTTACATTACCTTCTTCTCCATGTTTTGTATGTCCACGGCTTTAGCTGGAAGTACAAAGAAATATTTTAGTGCAAAAAGCTTCCACTGCAATTTATGATTTCTGATAAAAGGAAATATAAGCAACAAAACCTTTTCTATGTTCATAAGAAAGAGGGATCCATACCACATGCTTGTTGTTTGAGCTGTTGCACCTCCTTTTCCAGATTATTCGTCTGAAATTCAATAAATGAATTCGTATGTATTTAGTGAGGAAATATATCTATAGGCAGATTAAAACAATGATACTTTCCACCACTTTCAGTCTGTTTGAAGGACAGGGTTTCCAGAGTAATATCAGTAAGAAAATACATCATTAATAGAACACTCTTTCAGGTCACTCAATACAATAAGCATAGTGAAAGAAGTAGCACTGTCTGTATATCTATACAGACTAAACACCCACGATCAAAAGCAAACGATACAATACGTATCTCCCACAGTCCCCTTCCTTTCCTTTCCCCCTACCAATATGTTCATAAACTTGACACAGCCTTAGCTATATATGTTTGCATACAGAATGTGACTTTTACTCACCTTTGATTTCAGATCTTGAACAACTGCTTGTTTGTCTGTCAGTAGAATATACATGCACATGTTAAATGGTTAACACTTTTTAAATAGTTCATATACTCTAATGTCAGTACCATCAAGTAACTCTTTAATAAATTTATAATGCAATATAACTGTTGATGTTGATAACAATTTTACGTTCATAATCGCACAAAAGATTGGTCTGGGAATGGTCCTACTTTGGTTCATAATGTAATGGAGAATGTTATCTGAATACACAAAAGTGTCAAAATCAATAAGATTTATTGTATTTGTTAAATTTATGAATATTTGTAAATTTGTGTAAGCCAAGTCAGGATAGACATGGTAACACATTCAGTGCAAGTCACAGGGGAGCTTGTAGTTCTGCAAATGTTAGAAAAACAATTTCAGCCTTAATTCTCAATTAAAATGTGACTGGGCAACTATATTATCACCTCTTATTACTTTCATAACAATGTTGGAATAATATTAATATTAAAAATTAGGCAGCTCTTGTTCATTCCAATTGACTTTTCTACACATCACATTCTGAAGGCCGTCCTCGTTGATATACATAAAATCCCCAGACATAAGAACATAAGCTGAAATTGTATTCAAATGTGGGATACGGTTAAATTGATACATACCACATTTCTCACGCTCCCGAACGGTCAGCTTACTGCGCAACTTCCGGAGCTAAAACATCAAATGTTATTGCATTGACACTGCACTCTGCTTGTCGTAAAAGGCGACTTACGTGATCGGTGGGTCAGGCTCGCTGACTTGGTTGTTGCATGCTATCGATGCCAAATGCGAGGATTGATGCTCAGTCACTGGATTGTCTTGTCCAGACTCGATTATTTAGAGACCGCCGTCACATAGCTGGAATATTGCTGAGTGCGGCGTTAAACAACAAACAAACCAAGCAACTGAACAATGGAAGTAAACACTATTGCCAGTACAAGTTTCAGTCGCTGATTGAACATACTAAATTATTGAAATGTTCTGTTAGCAGTCAATCTCATGTCGCTAGACTGTCATATAAGATTGCTTCACATATGGAGGATACAAGTCTGTGTGTTGTATCTGCAGAGGATTCGCGTAATACAACATTCAACCAGTTATCATGACTACTGTGGTTCTCAAACTGTGTGAGCAAGTTGGCAGGTGAAGGTGTTTTTATCACTTATGTAGCTACAACTAGAGATATCGATCTCATTAATTCCCAATCTAAAACTATGATGGTGGGGAACAACGTATGTTCAGATCATTTGAATCAGGAGAACAGCCTACAACCGATAATAATGGATCCATACACAGCTTCAGAAGATCAGACGTGGTTTTGGACCCACACAGCTTCAGAAGATCAGACGTGGTTTTGGACCCACTCACAGCTTCAGAAGATCAGACGTGGTTTTGGACCCACACAGCTTTAGAAGATCAGACGTGGTTTTGGACCCACTCACAGCTTCAGAAGATCAGACGCGGTTTTGGACCCACACTGCTTCAGAAGATCAGACGTGGTTTTGGACCCACACAGCTTCAGAAGATCAGACGTGGTTTTGGACCCACTCACAGCTTCAGAAGATCAGACGCGGTTTTGGACCCACGCAGCTTCAGAAGATCAGACGTGGTTTTGGAGCCACAAACAGCTTCAGAAGATCAGACGCGGTTTTGGACAGCTTCAGAATATGAGTCAGCGATGACTGAGTGATGCACCAATAAGATCGCATGTTTAAGAAGGGTGTGTTGGTTGTGAAGTGAGAACACTACACCTTGTTTAACCGTATGCGGGTCCTTTAGTGGTCTGATTACTTGTTGTGTAATCTCATTGGCTCGGGGCGTTTAAACATCGGTCCTGGTTTGGTCACACTTGTAGCAGGACTCCTGGGTGAGTTCAATAGGCACTCAATCAGATCCTCATCCCAATACGTCTAGTAAGTAGTTTTGCAGTCAACGCACACACATGTACATACTGAGTTTTAAATTATCTATGATATAATTGTGATTAATAACACATCCTTGTATGAAAGTGTTATTTTCGAAGGGAGAAAATGCATCTACTTACATCATCTCGTAGTCTTTCATCATCACCTGTAAACAACGATTACAATCAAACTTAAAGTTGCCCTTACAATTGTTTTAGCAGTTACGCCCTTTGTCAGTTCTGTTTAATTCAATTTATTCCATTATGAATGTGTGCTATTTTAACAAGGTGACATGCTGCCAACCTCGTTACTACTCTATTTAAACAAAGAACAGGAGGACAGCAAGAAATTACCATTCAAAAGTTACTTCTGGTGAAACTCGGGGACTTCAGAAGCAGAATCGATGGGAGACATTAAACAGATACATTTACCTTGTTCGTTGACAGTTTGTTTTACTCCGCCATACACAACTCCTACATTGAACACCTCCTTGGCGGATGCGTTTTGTCCCATCTTTGGTGCAACGTGAATATTCCGAGCACCGGATTCAGGGTGAGTGTTGTCATCATCCTGCTTACTCATGGTGGCGGTAAATCTAGAATGGGAAAAAGGTGTGTCATGTCATCACGTCATTTGTACAGCTGGATCTGAATAGGTCGGCCTCATGGACAATAAAGCACGACCTCATCGGGCCAGGGTCGTTGATGCCTTCTCAGAGCAGGAGACCAGCCTGGCCATCAAACCTCAACCCTATCGAACACATGTTGAACGAGCTTCTGATCACCCTCTCACAATGCGCTGTCCTTCCGCAACTGTACAGGAACTCAGCAATGTTCTAACTGACGAGTGGAATCCAGACACTTGGATGCGAGAATTCACTGACTGACACCATAATGAAACTTTTTTCATATTATTAAACATACAAATCCTTTGGATATAAGTCTTTGGGTCTCTTGGGTACGGTGTGGTTTCGCATTGTCATCTTGCCAATTCGTCAGTATATCGCTTGCTAGTCAAATGTGATACCGCCCCACACCACCCTATACTGGCCATGGTCAATAATTGTTGCTCTGACATGACGCTCGCGGCGTCCCACAAACTAGACGTATCAATGTTAGATTTGCCAAACATTCGGGGATATGGGATATTGACGTTCCTCCAATCTATGCTACACTCAGCTCGCCATTTTGTCTGTTCATTGAGGTACTGTGTCGAATGCATTTCTAAGCATGTACTCAACACAATTACAACCAGCCTCAACGACTTCAGCAAATGCTTGCCAAATATAATATGTACATCACTTGCTTGACAACGGCGTTAGAACCTACACCGAAAGTTGATGATCAATATATCTTACCGTATTTAGTCTGAATGCCTAATGCAATGAAGTCACATTGTTCAAAGAGGATAATACACCCACTGCCTGCTCGACATTTCCATATGATGTTGAAGACCAACCATGAAATACTGGTATTAAACATTTGCTTTGTGGAATAAGGTACAGGGTATATGTATGAGGTGTAAAGTACAAGGTATAAGATATAAGGTATGAGGTATATATATGAGATATGAGATATGAGGTTTTAGGTATAAGGTGTAAAGTATACGGTTTTAGGTATAAGTTATAAGGTATGAGGTATGAGGTATGAGGTATGAGGTATGAGGTAAAAGGTATAAAGGTATAAAGGTACAAGTTACTAGGTAGAGGTATGAGGTATGAGGTATGAGGTATGAGGTATAATGTATAATGTATAATGTATAATGTATAAGGTATGAGATATAAGGTGTGAGGTATAAAGTACAAGGTACTAGGTAGAGGTATGAGGTGTAATGTATTATGTATAATGTATAATGTATGTTTTTTTTATTGATTTTTTTATTCATCTCAGCAGGTACAGCATTTATATATACATGTCTTGTCAATATAATTGTGGTACATGGTTTTAAAAAAAATGTACATCTTTCCATACAATACATTCTTGCCTGTGAAGTCCACGTACTGTATCAGTTTATCACTGTTCAGTTTTCAAACAAAGTGTGGAAGGAAGACTAAAAACTAAAAAGGTTTGCATAATTACAATTTGTGAATGACATTACCTTTGTAGCATTGTAATAACGTTTTATCTCATGCTGTATGTGTTAAAAATATGGCCTTAATCCTTTCCTACGTTGTCTGTATATTACTTGTTTTGATATTAAAGTACAATATTCAGTGGGTTGTTGTGTTTGCCTTGAAATCCAAATAAAACATTTTCTCTGTTTAAATCAAGTGTTCCTTCCACAACAGATTTTAACCAGATATACAGTCTCTCCCAAATATTTCTTACATGTTCACAATCATACAACATATGGATTAAAGTTACAGGTTGATTTGTACAGAAAGTACACATAGGAGAATCAACATATCCAATTTTATATAAATATTTGTTAGTTGTAAGAATGTAGTGAATAATCTTAAACTGAAACCATCTAATATCCTCACTTTGAGTGCACCTTTTTGCCATCAATATATGTTCTTGCCAATTTGTTTCACTAAATGTCTTATTTAGTATACTTTCCCGTTTTTCAATGCCATGGAATTTAACAAACTCTTGTGCTGATAAAGTCTTGAAAAATTCTTTACTACCCATATTTTGGTTTAGAAGATGTGATACGTCTAGTGGCATGGTTGGTCGAGGAGATATAGAATTGAAAATATTGTATTCCTTTGCCTTACAAAATTTTTTGACTGCATTTACAACTCCATGATATTCTATATAATTTGTTTGGATTCCATACATATGCACAAAAGCATCAAATACATAAAATTTACCTTTGTCATTCACTAAATCCCCAATGAAGGCTACACCTCTGCTTGACCAATGTTCATAAAAGATTGGACTATTTCCTATTTGTATTCCATTATTAAACCATATAGATTGTCTCATTATATCTTGACCAGTTTTCAGTTTCTTTGTGGACAGGTATGTTGCCCAAGCTTCTAAAACATCCTTCCAAGATAAATTCATGGTATTTGGAGCAATAAATGCATTAACATAGGAGGCATCTGCCAACCATAATCTTACTCTATTTGGAATACAGCAAGCAACTAACTCAGTCCATTTTGAGTGATAACAATAAAATCTTCTGATCAATGAAAGTTTTTGTGCTGCAACCACATCCTTTATAATTGGCATGTTAATTCCGCCAAGTTTAGGGGGTTGAGACATTATTTGTCTTTTCACTTTATCCGTTTTCCCTTCCATACAAATTTAAACATCTTTTCTGAAACGTATCAATCACATCCCTTGGAGGGTTGGGTATGGTGGAAAAAACATGATTCAATTTTGACAGTAAGAGGCTTTTTAGGACTATATTTCTACCTACTGGAGTCAAATTTCTTACCGTCCATAGGTTCATTTCTCTCTAAATTTTTTCAAGCTTAATTTTATAATTATCCTCCACAATATTCTCTTAATCAACATCAAAGTTTATTCATAATAGTTTAAACTTTGTATTAGTCCTGACATAGTTTATATCTTGATCTCTTTTTTGAACCAATCCAAATTAGTTTAGTTTAGTTTAGTTTAGTAATAAAAATATATGGCGACACTGGGTCACCTTGGCGACAGCCTCTTAATATCTTAAAAAAGGGACTCGCAAAACCATTAACTACTACACTGGACTGTATAATGTATGATGTATAAGGTATGAGGTATGAGGTATGAGGTATAATGTATAATGTATAATGTATAAGGTATGATGTATAAGGTATAAGGTATGAGATATAAGGTGTGAGGTATAAGGTATAAGGTACTAGGTAGAGGTATGAGGGATACTATATAATGTATAATGTATAATGTATAATGTATAATGTATGATGTAAAAGGTATGATGCATAAGGAATAAGATCTGAGATATAAGGTGTGAAGTATCAGGTATAATGTATATAGTATAAAGTATAGTGTATAAGGTATTTCCTCTATTACACGCCGGGTCTCTAATACAAGCAAAGTCTCTAATACATGCCGTCTCAACGTCTCTCGCGAAATTAATAGACCGCCTTTGCGTGTAAGAGAGGAAATACGGTAGTTTGAATTCCGATATTTTTATGATGTTCTATGATAAGAAAAAGAAATAAGATAAAACTGATCATATAATATTCTAATATTTGTTAATAAGTTGTAATGTAATGTTTTATTTGCATGTGTTGGTATTGTGCATATTTTAACTCACAGAGTTTTTCACAGAGCCTCTGTTTATTAATTCAAATGAATTAAACAACTGTCATCAACAAATCAACCTGCTTTTAGTGATTCGTTCACCCAAACCACTCCGGTTACATTCGGACCGATGCTGGGCCGATAATTATTTCCGACGTCGGGTCGACGTCGATCCGATGAGCAAAACGTCTTCGGGCCGCCGATATTCGCAGACGCTTGGCCGATGTTGGCCCGATGTAGGTGTGCTAGCTTGGGAACCACTGTCACTGTTATACCGCCGCCTGGTGAGATACTGGATATTACAAACCTTATCTTACACAAGGCAGGTAACACCTGTCTCTGCTATACTGCTATTGCATTCAACTACCTGGGTTTTCAACTCTGATCAGTAACGTCCTGAATACCACCACCAGGCATACCGATCAGTGCATGATCGTTGCCAGGGGAGATTCTCTCGCGATTGAGGCCATCAGAGCGTCAGATCAACCCGAAAGTAGAACAACATGATACAATGGCTCACTAAGTACCTCTACATGACTTGTTGTGAAACAATCAAACACAGACTGGATAGTACTATCTTACTTCGAGCCATAATCCTGCGAACTATGCTTGAAATACGCAATCAACATGACAGTGTAGTAACGGACTTACCCGTATCAGATTTCTCCTCAAAGTGTCCCAGATTCGGGTGGGTCGTCCAGGCCTCTTCACCCCCACACACAGGTACAGTCTACACAGGCCACTTCACCCCCACACACAGGTACAGTCTACACAGGCCACTTCACCCCCACACACAGGTACAGTCTACACAGGCCGCCTCACAGGCGATTACAACCTCACAAAACACTGTCACACTACAGCAACACACTGCTGTGTGATGAAAGATGTGAATGGGGTGTGTTCCACGGCCGTCTACTGCACGCTACTCTGTCACGCAGCTTCCCTGTTGATCGCTACACATTCGTCACCACTCGTTCCTTTCCGTAAGCTTCACACGGCATATCCCCTATCCAGCAAACCAGTCGAGGCTTGCATACTGTCACCATGTAGACTAACATTTTGTTTGTTTGTTTAATGCCGCACTCAGCAATATCCCAGCTATATGACGTCGGTCTGTAAATAATGGAGTCTGGACCAGACAATCCAGTGTTTGACATCATGAGCATCGATCCACACAATTGGGATACTGTGACTTGCATCAGTTAAGTCAGGAGCCTGACCACCCGATCCATTTAGTCGCCTCTTACGACAAGCATGGGTTGCTAAAGACCTATTTTACCCCGGAATCTTCATGGGTCTTTGTACTAACAGGATGGCAAGCATAAAAATGCATATATCACACTCTTATATATATTCCTAATGTCTGCATACATTTTATAAACAAATTATAGAACGTGTAAGACTACGTGTATTGATAACTGATACATTTAATAAACATGTTTTGTTACATGCTGTACCGTGGTTTGTTAACATAATCGATAATCATTAAGATAGCCAAAGAGAAAATACACTGTTTATAAGAGTCTTGAGGAAATGTTTGGGTTGTTAATGGCGGATGATCGACATAATATTCTGCAGATTATTCATGTATTCTCTCAACAAACATTTAAACCTTGTTATAGTTCTACCTAGAATCATACAGTGCATATACAAAGACTTAACACCACTCCATTTTTCCGAACTTTGAAAATTACCAATCTGTTTACTGTTAAATGTAGCTGTGCTTTCAGAAACTAACGCTGAAAGGAATGGAAACTGAAAGTAATAAATGTATGTTTTAAATAATGAATAACAATGTATAACAATGGGAATGGGTGCATAGTCAGAAAGAAATGCGAACATTAATGACTTGTAGTGTAACCATAGAGTTCCAGATAATTTGTGTCATTAAACAATATATCACATGACTAACCACGGGTCCAGGTAGTTCTGTTGGTACCCGGGTACTACTCAGCACCCACCCAAACCGGGTACCCGAGTTACCTGTCCCAGCCCTAACAACTTTGGAGATATCTATTCCGAAACAATTTTGCGAGGGCACGAGGGCTAGCCAAGCGGGATCAGTAGCCATATCTGTGCTTGTAGACCTCTGCGGCTTGAAACCTTCTCCACAAATTAAAATAGCTTGATTTGGGCGAAATATGTTTGAATTGTTACCTTGTTTCGTTTTGTCGCTGTGTGTACATCTGACTACACTTCTTAACGTTATGACAGGACAGACCGACTGTCAACAACGTCTGACCGTGGCCGCGACGTCTCATAGACTAGGGTTAGAGTAGCTTCCCTTTGACAAAGGGCAGTTACTCTAGCGGACAGACCGATCTATTGCCGCGAAAGGCAATTAAAAACAATTGTTGTTTTGCGTATGCAGTTGGAACTATATTGGCTACTGTTACTGTCCGACTGACACATCACTTACCCTGTGACGTAATAAATATTAATGCGCGTATTCCAGAAAACTCGCAATGATTCCGTAATTTTTGTGAGAGAGCGAAAGCGATTTTGAAGCACAGAATTAAAGAATGACATTATATGATAAAGAGGAATTAGGAATAAACACTATGTATTTAGCTCGCCAAGGCTCGCTAAATACAATGTTTATTCCTAATGCAGGATATTTACCGACCCCAAACACACTCGCGTGATAACCTCTATATATTTGTAAGGTTTGAAATAACAGAGGACCAGCTGAGAATAACTACGTTAGATTACATGTGTATTACTATATATTTGTAGGGTCTGAAATAACAGATGACCAGCTGAGAATAACTACGTTTGATTACATGTGTATTACTATATATTTGTAAGGTCTGAAATAACAGAGGACCAGCTGAGAATAACTACGTTAAGTTACATGTGTATTACTATACATTTGTAAGGTCTGAAATAACAGAGGACCAGCTGAGAATAACTACGTTAAGTTACATGTGTATTACTATACATTTGTAAGGTCTGAAATAACAGAGGACCAGCTGAGAATAACTACGTTAGATTACATGTGTATTACTATACATTTGTAAGGTCTGAAATAACAGAGGACCAGCTGAGAATAACTACATTAGATTACATATGTATTACTATATATTTGTTAGGTCTGAAATAACAGAGGACCAGCTGAGAATAACTACGTTAGATTACATGTGTATTACTATACATTTGTAAGGTCTGACATAATAGAGGACAAGCTGAGAATAACTACGTTAGGTTACATGTGTATTACTATGTATTTGTATGTTCTGAAATAACAGAGGACCAGCTGAGAATAGTACATTAGGTTACATGTGTATTACTATATATTTGTTAGGTCTGAAATAACAGAGGACCAGCTGGGAAAAACTACGTTAGATTACAAGTGTTTTACTATACTGAACCCAATTAAAAACTTCACAATCCTAAAATTTTAGCATTTTGACCAGTTATCATTGTGGGCCCTTATTGTGTATTTAAACAGTAATGGCCACGTATTGTCTTCAGATAACACCCGCTTTTGTGCAGGTGAATCGATCAAAATCATGTGCACAGCACTATAGTGGCAAAAGGTTTTTTCACGTGCAACTGGTCACGTGGCCATAATACCGCACGTGTTTTCAGCCTTACTTGTTAGCAGTCATTAACAAAAAAAGAAAAACACAAGAAAACAAAAGTCTTTACGGCCATTTGTCATGCCACGCCTTTCAAATGTGCAACGTTAACGTGCCATCGGCATGGAAACGTCCGTAGATGAAGTCGCAAGGACGATGGGTTGTAGTCGACGGACTGTTTATGATTTACAGACGCGTCTACAGCAAACGGGTACCACCGCTGATCGCCCTCGGTCAGGTCGACCACGTGTGACGTCACATGGAGAGGATCGTCAGATTGTCTTACGTCACCTCAGGGGGTCTATGTATGCTAGGATTTAAAAGTCCAGGAACAGGTCCCTATATGGAAGTGGCTACTACGAGGTTCAAATGTGAATCACGGGGAAAGAAATGTCATTGTTAGACATATTCCTTTGATGTATTTCACGTAGTAATGACTGTCACATGTGGCAAAGAGGGGTGTGAGTTGAATTTCCATAGAAACCACATGCCCAGTTCTTAACTCTTCTAGCGTTACCTATTATAAGTTCCTTTTAACAGTCAGTTGCCATGACAACCAAATAAAAAAAATAAGGGTTAACAGTCTTGACTCCAAGAGGTCAGCTCGGAGAAATATCGCGAAACCCGTGTGTTGAAGACTGTAATAAATGCCAGTCTGGTATAAGACGTTTTAATACTGTTAAATTCTATTCTTTTTCTAAAAGATGTTTGAGTTCAAAATGTCGGTTCAGTTTCATATTTCAATGGAAAAATGCTCGTTTAACCCGTACCAAGAATCATTTTCATAAGAGTAGAGTAAAATCAAGAAATCTTATACGATATCCCTTCACATGTAAACCTTTTTCAATGAAAAGAAATCATGTCTCACGTTTATTTCATCGGAAAAAAACTTTCGTCATTAGTGTGTTTTTAATTATCAATCTAGAGTAATCAAGTAAATGTGATCTTCATTATTAAGCAGTGTTAGTTCATGACACATTTTGGATAAGTTCAGACGTCATCAGTGTACCTATTGCCATTTTGTCAACGGTGGAATTGAATAGATATTATCCTTATGTCAACTGAGTTCTAAGGTAAATATTAATAATAAACCTGTTGACGAAACACATTTTATTCATAATGATATGGGATATGAATCAATGATATTATTTTAATGCGAGAACATCAGTAGTATTCTAATATGGAATGTTAGACTCTTAAGATAGTTTTTTGTTTAATTAATCATGCATTTATTGTCTTATATACTTTGACCTGGTTAGCTCAGTCGGTAGAACATTTGCCTCAGAAACACTAGGTTTGGAGTTAGAATCTCGGGTGGGGACAGTGCAACATTTACACCGTGGAGAACAGTTCCACAATGTGCTTATGTTAGTGTGCGCGGTTAGGACCACATCCTAACATCACCCTTGGTTCGAGAGACACATGCCCTAGTCTGCGGGTTTCACTCTGTACAGCATCTACCAGCATCGGTGTTGCAGACTTTCCTCCCGCATCCAGTTTGGCACATCATCATATGACCCGAGCTGTTGAAAGCAATGTAAAACCCAACTCAATCATCTGTACTTTTGTGTTAAATGTTTAACTTTTCTGAAAATAACTCTTTCTATTCACTGTATAATTGTTTTAGCCTCTTGAGAATATAATTGCGTTTATTTTCTTGTGTACCATGTGTTAAAATGTTTATCCTAAATACATTTGTACTACCAGGTCAAAAACTTAAAGTTTCCCAAATAATAAAAACTTCGTTAGTTGAATGAATCAATAAATTAAAAAAAATAAAAAACATCACTTTTTAAAACATTTTACAAATCAAGAAATATAACAAATCAAATTCATGTCATAAAAATCACTCTATAACAGACTTAAATTTTTCTGATACGGACTATACTAGACTCCGTCCGACAAGTTAAACGCTTGACTGCACCCTATACCATGGCCAGCCACCCACCTGTAGCTGATATAGTCCGTTCTACATAGCGTATACATTTGTAAACACATCCAACTACGCCTTATCTTTCTTTTTTTCCCCGGGGAATTAGACACAGCATAATACCACTCATTTCACCCATAAGAAGTACGATGGGAAACGGCGGAGTGTATCAACTTATTATTTTAATAAATTGAACCTTGATACTTTTGTATTGTGTTTCTTTTCTACAGTGAAAGACGATTAGCCTGAGCTGAAGGTTGAGTCACGTTATTTATGAATGAGATGTCATTCTCCATATAAGGAAAATCATACTATGAAAACGGCGAAAGGTCCCTTTTTAGGCAAAGCAGGCGTAAAAAGTCATATCATCCAAAAATATCTCCCACGGTAGATATCACTTGTGTGAGATCAGGCGATACCTTCTTGGAGATATCATCACAAATGATGTCATTTGATTGTAGCAATATGTTGACAT